TTTCTCCTAGCTAATAGTTTCCTTAGGCAGCAAAGTCTTCAAGCGCTTCACGGTTGGCGTTGTCACATTTGACTCTATTTTGCGACGTAGTGAGCCCGTCGCCTTGGACTCCTTTACACTGCCCCTAAGCATAGCATCGAGGGGCGGTAATGCAAAATCATCTGGCATCTTGTTTTCGAACGAGCTATCCACTGTTTCCGACAGTTCCAGCTGCACCGCCCGCTCCGTATGGACACGCTGCACGTGCTCCTTCATTTTGTCCGATCGATGGCTGCTAAAGCCGCAGAGCTGACACTTGTAGCGGTTGAGGCCGCCCTCTGTGTGCTTGAGGGCGTGTCGCTTTAGGTTCTTGCTTTGGCTAAACTTGCAGCCACAAACCTCGCAAATGAAATCTCGTCCCTGTTTGTGTGTCTCGATGTGCAGCTTCATGTTCTCCTTGCGATTCGCTCGATGCTTGCAGCCAGGCACCGTGCAGGCAAAGAACTCGCCAGTATGCAGAAGCTTGTGACTCTTTAAGGCCTTCATGTGCGTCGTGCTGTAGCCGCAGACATCGCAGAGCATTTGCTTTTCGGGATTGTGCACCAACATGTGGTTGCTCAGACCCTGCTTCCACTTGAAGGCCTTGCCGCAATGCGAGCAAACATGCGGCGTTTCCGTTGTATGTTTCGGTTGATGGATAAGCAGAGCGGCCCGCGTGCTGAAGCGATTATCGCACTGCAGGCAGAAGAAGGGCTTTCGAAGATCGGAGCCATGGCGACGCAGGTGTGAGTCATATTCTCGCCAATCCAGAAAGCCAACTTCGCAGAGCGAACAGGTGAGGTGGGACGGTTCGCAGCTGGTCATGTGATCAATCATCTTTTGCACCTGATAACATTTAAAGTCGCAACCAATGCAATAGTTGATTTTGCTGCTTGACTTAACGGCACGTGGATTCTTAAGCTACAATTGAGAAGAAAGTGTGATGGAATTGCTTAAAGAAGAAAAATCAGCGCTTTTTTACCTTGAAATAGCTTTGTTGATTTTCAAAGACCACATCTGCTTTGTTAGCTGGCTGCACAGCATCCTCCACATCGCCCGGTTTTGCGGCAGTTGGCTCCACTCCCACATTATCATCGGTGCTTTGCTCTATTTGATACAAATTCAACAACTCGGTTACAGAAAGTATTTTCGCCAACTCGCGAAAGTGCGCTTCATGCTCCTTGGAAACGGAGACAATGTCCTCATAGAAAAAGTCCACGATGGTGTGCAGGCACACGGTGCAGTTAAAGTTGCGTATTGTGACTTTTAGTGGATTTTGAATAGAGAACTGCTGTTGCTTCTGCTGATTGAGGCCAATGAGCTGACTTTGAGCAGCAACCACGCAAAAATGCACGCTGCATGTGCAGGACACATCATCCGAATCCAGCTCTAGCTGCAAATCACAAAACTGTCCTGTCCTACGTTGATTATTTAGGTAATTGGACACCTTGGAATGCAGTGGCTGATGTAAAGTTGGCTGAATGATAGGCGTTTGCAACATTGCATTTAACTTTGCTCAAATCCAAAATGTAAACAATTATAACGTTGGTAAACAAGTCGGCAAACAGCTGTTTGACATTCACATGCAAACGTTTGAATGCGAACCATTCACAGGAAATGCGCGCGTTAAAAGAACTCATAACGGGACCGGCTTGATAAAGCTGTACGTTAAGTTTAAAACGAATTTTTATATTTTTCGTAAGATCTTATGCAGCTGTAGTAAAATTGTATTGTATTTTATGTTTACATAATAGCAATACATTACGAGCTATTAATATTAAAACCTTAATATTAAAATCTCATTATAGTCAAATTGAATTAGCTGACTAGATTATTTACAATTCTCAGAATGCTCCTAATGAAATTGCTGAGTAATATAAAATATTTCTATATTACATTAATTAATTGAATATTATACAGCAGCTGATATACTGCTTGGCCGGCAGGAACAACCTTATCATTTGTTTACCGCATTGATAAGAGACTTGAAGCGTTGGTGGAAGCTTCGACAGAGCTGCGATCTGTCTGACCAGTCGTGCCTTGCACAGCAAAACGAACGAACGTTTAAAGTGATAGACAAAGCTAAAGCAGCAGCAATATAAACATATATATAATAGAGAGGTCTTTTATACTATAATAGCTGCAGAAATACAAAATGGAAAGGTATCATATAGTAACTAGTTTCTGCATTCACTTTAACAGTGCATCGTTTTTATAGTATTTGGCAGGAGTGCCAGTCATTCCTAAAGACTCTACTCTGTTTCATTGTGGCCCTTATGTTGCTGCCACTGCTGCTGCTTTCGTTTGTGTGTAAGTATTCCATTTAGCATGAAGCCTTTCCGATCAGATACAGATCAAACAGGCCGGCTATAAATAAACGAGGCATGGGTTGATTAACCGCTCCATTCACCCAAAGGATGAGATGGTTCTGCTCTATTCGCTTAATGGGATACGCTTCAGTAGCTAGCCTGCCAGTGATAAGGTTTACTACTCTGACGGTCGATGAGGGGGCTCGCTAGAGGGGCGGGGGCGGGTACATCAGCATACGCCACTGATAAGCTTTGTTTATAAATAATACCTGTTGCACCTTTTGTAGTACCCAGACGAGCGACCACGCTGAACCTTGACCAAATGAATTACTCATTAAAAATTTTACCAAGACGATAAGACGAAACGTAGCTGAAATATTATAGCAATATGATTTATATCTCTCTTTGACAGGTGCGCATTTCACCAATGAGCTTGTGAATTACCTGCTTAGCATCAAGTATCCCAATTTGACCATCTGCAAGTCCAAGAAGATACGCACCTTGATTGATACGCCCAAGAATGCGGGCATCTTTCACTTCCTGCTCCAGGTGGAGGGAGTCTGTGACTATGAGAGAATTAAGCGCGCCTACGCCTTGCAGCTGACTGAGCTCAAGGATAAGATGGGCATGATCAAGTTTCCGAAACTGAGGCAGAAGCTGGTCACCTGCTGGGGTCACTATGCCTGGGTCAACGACAGCAGGTGGGTGCAGTGTGTGGCTGAGACAGCTCAGAGAGTCTAACTATGCCTTGCTTGCAGTGGCTTCAACATCAACAATCACGTGCTGCTCAGCACGCACAGATACCGCGGACGTCCGGTCAACGAGTCAAACATTCAGGATTATGTCAGCGAGCTGGCCGCGAAGTATATACCCTCGGACTTGCCCCAGTGGCAGGTGACCGTCATACCCAATGCGGATCAGGAGCAGCCCTATTATATACTGATTAAAGTGCATCACTTGATCATTGCCGAGGAGGACGACCTGCACGTGAGCGAAATGCTGCTGCTGCAGGACAACGAACGTAAATCGTTTGTTGGCCTCCAGGACGGTCTGACCCGGACGACGAATACCAAGCAGCTCTCGCACTTTGTGCGTCAGCCGGAGCACATCAGCAAGCTGCTGAATCATGTGCAGCATCTGATTAGCTGCCGCTGGCAACAGTTCATCTATGAGTTCGAGTCGCTGGACACGCCTGATGGCGTTAAGGCCCATCCGGATGCACGTAATCTCAGTCAGCTGATCTCACTGCTGCTCATCGTGCTGGTCAATGTGGCCTTGGGCTATTGGCGCACCCGGGCAATGCGTCGCAAATGGCAGCGACGCGCGACGGGTTTTCGAGCTGACTTGGGTGTAGTGCAGACGCTTTATGTGCTACTCCAGCATGAGCTGGAGCAGCGCAATCTTAGCTGGGCCGTGGCTCGCTCGGCTCTGCTTTACAGTTTGCAGCCGGTTCACATAGTGAAGACCTGGACACGTTTTCTCTGGCAGCAGTTGCTGCATCATTTCATCCTACTGCCCTATCACATGTACTGTGAGTTGTTGGCACTGCGCGACGTGCTGCTCCGTGGCCAGACACCGTATACCAGTACCTATTGCGCTCGCCTGTATTTGTATGTGCCACTGTTGCTGTATGCCCAGCTGGAGCTCTGCAAGATCTGTTATGAGCTGTTCAAGGCTCCCAGGAATATCTATGATGTTCTTTTCGTGCAGCCCACCAAGGAGTTGAACATCCTACATAAGAAATCTTATGCAGGCCGCAAAATTGTTTCCTTCAGCCGATCGATAGATGGCGCTTTACTACGCGAACGTCATCAGCATTTGTTTGGCCAGGAGCTGCGTGAGTCTGACTTTAGCTTAGCCTGCTTAGCAGGCGCTGTTTACGACTACTTCAACACCTTCTCAGACAGAGTGGCTGTGCCTAAGCTTCTGAACACAACATGTCGCACTATATCCAAGGGTTATTTCACCGATCGCTGTGCGGATAAATCGGAACACATTGGAGGCGTGGTCTTCCTGCAACTGCCATTGGGTCCACCGGATGCCGTCAAAGCTCATCAGCTGCACGAAATTGTGGAGCGCATTCGCAAGCAGCAGATAATGTTATACTTGGCTTCCATTGGGCAGACCAAGTACAGTCTGCTTACGGCGTTGCTGCCCCATGTCCTAACCAAGATCTTCATTAACTTCTTCTCGTATAACTTTCCTGTTACCATCACGGAGATCTATGGCACAGCAGACACCCAGTTCCAGGCAGCATGGGGGCAGCGTGTGCAGGATGTATTACTGTTTCGACCACCCCAATCGAAGACTTGTCTATCCTTGAATCTGCATCGATTCGGCGACAAGTATAGGTTGGCAATTATGGCTGACACGCATTTGGCTCCGGATCACACGCTACTCACACGATCCTTTGAACGTTACATGGAAACGGTGACATTATAATAGTCTATTATTATGCCAATAAAATATATTTAAATATATCTACCTACATCAAATAAATTTATACATGAAAAGTCTACCGTCGTTTAAAACTTTGAAAAAGCGCGCACTCAATACTATTCACACAAAACTGTCGTTGTTGTCGCTCTTGTTCAGACAGTCACACAAAATGAGCACATACTATTGTGAATATCATTTTAGTTTGACATCGAAAGTTGTCGTTTTTTTTTTTTTTTTTTAAATTTGTTGTGTATTGCTCTAAATGGAATCTCTTTTATTTTTATTTTATGTAAACAGACGAGTGTAAATTGAAACAAAGAACACCATCTAGTGAAGCCCATCGTTAAATGGAAGTTAACACCTCGCCAATGCAAACAGAAAGTTAACTCAGAGTAAAATATGGAATCCGTTGCTCAATGAGCTTCAGTCGCTCATTGAAGCCGGGTCTGGAAGGTTGCGAATGCGGTAAATCAACGGTATTTGTTTCTTTTTGTTTTCAAGACTGAGCGAGATAACCAACGGGGTCAAAAACAAATTGCTTTGATTTTTTACACGCGACTCTTAATTAGCTCAACTCAGCAAGCTTCAATTAGCATTGAAATAATTGGCAATTCCAATTATTAATCAATTCAAATACAAAACATAAACAACAAGCAGCTCGCCAATTATAGATCTAGTTAGAAGTTCCGTACGTTAGTTTCAACAACCACAACAACAACAACGATTCACGCAATGTATTGTTCTTTGTTCCCGGTGCTTCGTTCCGCTTGCCATATCAAGAAATATCATCTAATCAAAGCTAGTTACAATTTCTCTGAGCTTGCAATAGACAAAGTGAGACAATAGGTAGAGTTCACAGCAAAAAATAATATGCGAGTAGCTGTTTAAATTCACAAAACATCCGGCTTATGCAAAATAATAATAATAATAATAATAAATAACAAAACAATACAGTTAAATTAAAATTCGATTTCGTTCATTTGTTTATAGCTGATTCTCTCGCTACAATTTGTTTACAGAGCTATTAGTTCTTATATGGTAATATAGTCATATTATAGTAATATATATGTACACACGTAGACACCTCGGAGGTTTCCAGCGAGCGCCGCGTTCGCCTTCCAATAAGAACGCTACGCAAGCTCGACGCAAACGGTTGATCTTCGTAATCTGATTGCTCGGCAGGCAAGACGAATCGACTCGCACTCGGACTCGGACTCGTACTTGATTTTAAGTGTCGCTGATTAAGCTTAAACGCAATCAACTTGAATCATTTATAATTCGAGGAGCGAGCGAGATGAGACAATTGCAATTGGTGTTCATTTTGGCGCTCTGCATCTGTCCGGCAATATGGGCGCAGCAGCTGGATACATTGGCTCCAGACTCTGGCCCGGATGGACGGCAGCTGAAATTGTGGCTTACGATCAGCGCCCGGAAGCGTTTCGTGGAGATCAGCTGGAAGAATGCGCCGGCCCGGGATGGCGATCAAGTCTTGTTAACAATACAGGATCCGCACACATTTGAGCTGCAATCTGTGCCCACGGGCACGCCGCTGGCAGGATTTGCGAAGAGTAGAAACAGTGACAGCGAGAGCGAGAGTGAGGAGAGCAGCGGTTCAGGCACAGACCAGGTGGCCTTTGTGCCAATTCATGGCTACACAACGCCTGGAACGGTGGCCAAGGCAGACGTTATTCCAATGCGACAGCAATGGGGGTCTAATGGTGGCAACAATCAAATTGTGGCCGCCATCAAGCCCAGCCAATCGGCCCAGTGGTTCACAACGGGCGTACCCTTTGATTATGCTCTGTCCCGGAATGTGACCACGCATAGCGACTGCTATGGCTATTGGGCTAGCTACATCGATGACCATGGACGTATTCTCGCCAAGACCTGTATTCGTGCTCATCCACGCTGGATGACAAACTGGCACAGTGGGCTGGGTGATCTGCGTCTGCGCGATCTCTTCATACCAGGCACACACGACTCCGGCTCTTACAGACCCAATTTCGATCCACTGTTGCGCGAGAGTCTGGTCACCAAGTATGCTCTAACCCAGGACGATGATATACGGGGCCAGCTGCTGCATGGAGCACGCTATCTGGACATACGTGTCGGCTTCTATCGTCCCAGCGAGGAGAAGTTCTTCATCTATCATGGCATCACTAAGCAACGACCACTCAAAGAGGTCATTCAGCAGGTCAAGGACTTTGTCCAAGAAACTAATGAGATCGTTATCTTTGGCCTCAAAGAGTTTCCCGTGGGTAAGGCTTACGCTCCATAGATCTAAGTGAAATTGGAATTCGATATGCTTTCATACGTCTCGGATAGGTTTTGGCAAGAATCTGGCCGTCCATCATCTGCTAGTTGCCTATTTGCGAGAGCAGTTTGGAGATTTCATCGTCCACCCATCGCTCACCTGGCATGCCACACTGCGCGACATCTGGAAGCGGCAGCAGAATGTAATATTGGCCTACGACAAAAGTGAGGTCGTGCAGCAGTATCCGGATCTGCTCTTTAGTGGCGTGGATCAGCGATGGGGCAATGTGCAGTCGTGGCCGCGTCTCGAACGGCATTTGCGCTACATCAACGACTTCGATGTGTCGTAAGTGTAGAGAAAGCTGCTCCAAGAGGAGTAATAACTATTTTCTCTTTTCTTATATAGCCGCTTCTCGAGTCGTCCTGTGGTGGACATGGCGGAGCTAACTCCAGAAACCTGGGACGTTATACTAGATAAGCATGGTGGCTTACGCAAAATGGCAGACAATGTGAATTGGCGCATCTCGCAGCTATACCGAGACGAGCTTGGGGAACATGCGAACATTGTAGCTGCAGACTTTATACGTGGCACTACGCTCGTCGAGACGGCCTTGGAAATGAACCGGAAAAAGATGGGTCATTAGCAAATGTGCCGCTAAAGCGCACTCTAAATATTTATAAAAAAATCCATTTCAGTTTAAAGTTCAGTTTACATTCACAATAATAACACATTTATAAATTTCATTCGAATAAGCCAATTATTTGAAGCTTGACAAAGATTTGTATACATTTAGTGCAGGTGTAGTAATACTTATAGCTAAATTCATTTTCATTTTCAGTTTCCCTAAACGTGTCACAACTGAGGCAATAATATATATGTCTATACATATGTATCTATATATGATTTATGTATAAATAGCTGTTTATATATGTAAGCTGTGTGAGAAACTTTCTTGCGACTGCCATCACTTGAATAAATATAAAAATAATACAAAAATTTAACTATAGCTAGCGACGGATTTGCAATTTAAATTTTGAGGAATGATAATAATGTCTATGCGAAAATATCATACAAAAAGTTTTGGCATACAATTAAAAAGCCCTTGGCTGGAGCTCAATATCTTTGCTTTGTGTGGTTAAATAAATGCGTAGAGCATATCGGCCTACTTTAGCGATTCGTTTGACTCTATTATGGTTGTATTGAAGATGGCACGGCACAGCTCGACCACGGCATTCGATAGACGGCCGTAGCAGCGCGGCTTTTGCTTCCAGGCAATGCAAACATAGTAGAAGGGAATGCCGGCCAAGGTGATGGCAATGCCAATGAGTAGGTTGGCGGGCTCCTTAAAGTTGGGTAACAGCACCAAAGTCACGCAAATGGTCATAAAAATGATTGGCAATGCCAAATGCACCTTGATGGGACGAGGCAGATCCGGCCTGAAGAGAGAAATACGTTTGTTTACTTACATACGTTTTAATAGATTTGTGTATTGAACTTACTTCTTGTGCCGCAGCCACAGCATGCCTGCTATGCTGGCTACAACAGAGAGCCACAACACAGAGCTAAAGTAGTTAATCAGCTCGTAGACGTTCTCGGTAAGCAGCATGAGCAACGACATCAAGCACTATATAGAAGGTTACAGAAGGTTACTCAATAGTCTCTCAACTGTTCAAGTTAACGCTTGACTCACTGTAAATATCAACGATGGTATTGGCGTCTGCTGCTTGACATGGAATAGCTGAAAGAACTTGGGCAGATGACCCTCCTGGGCGCCAGTGGCGAACAGACGGGCCGAGGTGAAGAGCACACCATTCACACCGCCAAATGTGCTCAATGCCACAAAAATTGGCACCATAAAGGCCAATGGGCCAAACACCTTGTTGCCAAAGGTCACAGCCACCGCTAGAGAGCTCAACATCTCCGGCTTGGAGACAACGGCAAAATATGCTAGATTAACCAGCACATAAATTCCCGTAACCAGCGGCATCGCTATCCAAATGGCGCGTGGCAAATTTCTATAAATATACAAAATACATTTGAGATTTGAGAAACCTTCAACGTGCCTCAGAAAACACTTGGCTTCTAGACTCAAGCAGTTTTCGTTGAGCACTTAAATTGATTGCTCTGCTGTGCTGCTCTATTTTGTCCCGCTCTGTTCAAATTGAATTCATTAGGGGTAAAAAGCAAAACTTGGGCGCAACAGATAGCCAGCCAGCCCAGCAACCAACCACACCATCACACACATTCACACACCACCACCCACTCACTCACACATGCGTATACACACAGCCTCAAGGACGCTCAACAAGTGGGCGCAGGCAACTTGTTGCTGACGCAGATGGCAAATAGGACAAAGTCATTTGTCTTGCTGACAGGCCCTATTTCATGTCAGTCAGGCACCCTGCCATCCCCCTTTGATTCATTCGCTTATTTAATCACTCCCGCACCCACATACTCATTTAGACGCCCATTCAAAACTTGCTTTTGTTATCTAGAGGATTCTCACTTGTACGGATCCTGCAGCTCTTCAGTGACAAAGTTCAAATAGTTCCAGCCGCCAAAGGCAAACAAACCGGAGTAGAAAGCATAGCCAATATTTCGAGCACTGTAAGTGCCCTCCCAAGGATTCGAGAAGTTACGCAACTCTCCAGTGGCCATAACATAGAGACCAGCGAGTATTATCATAATGAGTGCCAAGAGCTTGCCAACCGTAAAGATATCCTGCACTTTCATCGACACTTTGACGGACAGACAGTTGATAGCAGTGAGGAGGCCTGCAATATACATTTAAATAGATAACATCTTATATTGCTGAATTAAATAGATATAAAGCTTCAATTGATTTACGTACATAGACAAACGGCAGCCAGTAGCTTCACGGCATTCTGAGGCGGATCACAGTCCTCAAAGAATGGCTTGGCAGCGTAATGGGCAAAAGTGAGAGCAACTATTGTCTAAAAAAGGAAGATAATTAATATATTATATTTGTATTATAAATGTATAGTACAATCCAATTCATATTTCATACCTTTCTTTTTTCTTTTATTATCATTAATCTATTAATTTAATGATTTTTTAAAATTACTTATCATTTTCAGAGATTGAAGTGATTGTAATGAGAGCAAAATACTTCTGGAGTACTTAAATTCATATTTCTGGTCTATGCTGTTATTATTCAAGGTACAGTACTTACTATTCAGCAAGAAATGATTTCTTTACTTATTTCTCTATTACCATATTACATAGAGATTTCTCAATATTGCAACTGCGCTTGCATCACGCTGGTTATTCAAGTTATTTGGTGGAAAAACTTGCATTGTTTCTCGTTTCACAAACGATTCAGTGAAAACATTTCTCACATTTCCTCGAATCAACTACTAATTGCGAGCAATTGTGGTCGAAGGTTGGGCTTTAAATCAATTTGTTTATACAATGCAATCAATAAAATATCATAAACTAATAACAATCAAATAATTTAGATTTTATTGGTTGGCAATCAAGCATTGAAATCAAATCAACTCAAATCAACTCACCTGGGTGGTAGGCCTGATAATGAGCAGAGCGATCCATAGACGTAGAAAGCCGACAAGTGGGCCAAATGCGACCAATAGATAGGCATAATCTCCCCCGGATCTGGTAATGCTAGTGCCCAGCTCTGCATAGCAAAGAGCGCCGATCGTTGAAAGAATGCCGCAGGCGGACCATATCAAAAGTGAACTTCCGACGGATCTGAATGCAATGAGAAGCGCAGAGAAGAGTGGTTAGGGGAAACTGCGTGAATATAATGTCCAAACAATAGGCGCCAAGTGGTTAAAGTGGCTCTACAAATAAAGCAAAACTTTGCTGTCTCTCATTCTCTCTCTTTCTTTCCGTTGTCTGCCTCTCCTCTGTGTGTGAATCGATGTGAGTGAGTGTTTATTTTGGGGCAATCTTGTAATTGTAGCACAGACTTCTCGAATACTTTTGTGGCTGATGCAACAATTGACAGCGATTTCGCGATGCCGACAAAATACCACAAAGCTAAACTAAATGTTCTCAAGGGTGTGCGCAGGCAACAACAAGGCTTAATTACCTATAGTTGAGCCTCACCCACTCTTCAAGAGGGAGACAGTGTGAGCGAGATGGAGAGAGCGAGTGATTGGCTTGCAATTCAGCCCAATTGAGCCGGCAGAAAGAAATGTTCCAATTTACAAAATAAATTATACGCCATTGACCTATGGCTCGTTCACTCGTGAACTTGTCTAATGAACTTGCAAAAGTTCGAGATGCAATAATTAATATCTCTTCTACGAGCATCGACCTTGATGCAAATCAAAATGATATGCTATATATGCAATACATCTCATCTTTAATCTTAACTATTTCAGTGTATTTTAAGTTCAAATTATAAGCAAGCTCTACTTACTCCGTATAGTAGAACACTCCGGTGGGTGCTATAAATATGCCCGACCCAATAATAGTGCCCACTATAATAGCCACTCCATTGATTAGAGTTAGTTTGCGTTTCAGCACTATCTTCTCGCCTTCGCCCTCTTCAACGACTTTCTTTGGCTCTGCTGAATGCCCATTGGCAGCGGGCTCCACTAAACTGGTGGATACCCCATTCGCATATCGCTCGGGCATTATAATAGAGTGTTTGCCTTTGTACGATTGCGGCCTATAAAATCAGTTCAAATATTCCTGTATACCCTTTGAGGTTTTTTCCAATGAATTATTCTCCCGCGGGCGCTGGCATTGCCACTTGAAAATAAAATTTATTTCTAATATATTTTTAATATATGTATGTAGATGAATATATTTTTAGAGCATTTTGCTCATATTTATTATAAAAAAAAGTTTATATATATAAATATATTTTTTCAAGATATAGGTATATGATATTTAAATATATCAAGAAATGTGTATTTGAAGATTTATATAAATTTGAAATACCTATTAAAATCAGAAATATAAGAATATCAATATAGATGGGCTTGAAATTAAATTATATTCCTTCTTAATGTTTTTTTTATCTATTTTAAAATATATTTTTATATTCACAATAAGCTCGTTATAAGATAAGATAGGTCTACAAAAATGATTGCATTCAAAGCACCCGCAATATCAACTGTTTTTATGTGAATCCCAATTTAAAATTAGCTTTTATGAAAGAAAGAAGTAATTTGGAGATATCAGACAACCAAAATCGTCATTTTTATCTACAGTTCTAATTATCATATTGTTTGGCTCCAAATTAACGTTTCGATTGATAAGTGAGAGTGTTATAAATCGTGACGTTGTCTATTTTCAATTCAGATATCGTAAACCTGTTAAGCAGCCGTTAGCCTTGTCAGCATGTTGCAATTGAAAAGCTGAGAAAACCGCAAGCGTTTTCCAAAAAAGTTTGACGCCACACACACTAAACATTACTAGCTACTAGCTAGTAGAGTGTATTCAACTATTATTTGCAATAATTCGAAGTCCGAACGTTGAAAAAACTTGTTCACAAATTAATAGAGGGCAATGCACGAACGCTCGCGTGCCAAATTCTTAACGATTTCGTCATATAGTCGCGTGGCAGTCGTTCTTTTTTTTTTTTTTTTGTGCTTCATTTGCAGTTTTTATGAATATAGGGTAAATATTGTTTATCTGCCGTTAGTGAAAACAATCGCACTCTTTTTTTTACTGCACATTTGTTGACACTTGATAATAATTTTTCGCATTACCATAAATTGTAGGATTAAAGCGCAACAGATCAACAAAG